TTTGATGTATTTAATTGCTCTTTTTTAAAGATATCACTCCCACTGGTTGGTCATTCTATATTCTATCTATTTATAATATAATTTTACTTTGATTAGGGACTTGTTTACTATTTTTATCAAAATTATTAACACAGCTACGATCTTACTACACTGCCCTTAGATGGCGCTCTACAGGGAATCAATAGTTCCCTGTGACAAGATATTCCACCGTATTTTTTTGTTTTTGGGAACAACTATTACAATGTTTAAAGACGCAAAATGGCATTTTGAAACATAAAATAACAAATCACTCGTGACGTGTAAACAATGCGATGCTGAGCTTAGTACTGACGCGAGTTTGTATTTGCTTTTGAATATGTATTTGTTATGGTGGCTTCACTTTTGTGTTCGCCGCGCTCCTTCTGATTATTGTTTTGTAATCTGAGTTAGTGAGTATCCAGCTAATTAAACGAAGACATGGCTCATAGGACTTGTATCCATGCGAAAACACTTAATAAAAAAATGAACCCTCCAAATTATATTTTTCCATTTTTTCGAGAATTTTTCCGGAAAAATTTCCACTATTTGAAATTTTTCTGAAAATTATCCAACAGTACTCATTATCGATGTTGTTTCCAAACAGGTAGGCCAAAAATTAATTGTGTATATATTTGAAGTCGTCACCAAATAAGAGGCCAAATTTGACACTTATCATCATGACGCGAATAGGGATGTGGACCAATCATATCGGTAAACGCATTATACGATTTTCACCAGAAATCGATTCAAAATTTTAAGAGTTTGTTATTGTTCAGATTATTTTTCGGTTCATTGTTGTTCAGGGGACCTAATAGGCCAAATCGTGCAATTCTGTTAAAAGCAATTCATTTACAGAATTCCTTGCAATTCTGTAGCAATTCCTCTTATTTTCTTAAAATTGTCGCACATTCCGATGAATTGTATCCAATTCTTTTAATTTGGATTTTATAATATTAATAAATGGTTTATTACGAGATATTAGTGTAATAAGTATGTTCATCGATAAAACTACATAAAAAGATTAAATTACCAAGGAACCAAGGATTTCATAAATTTTCAATTATTCGGCTGGCAATAAATTAGAAATTGTCAATGTCAACAACACACAATCTCAAATAATGTACATAATTTTTTAAATATTTTTTCCGAGAAATCGAAGTGACTCGGTGGAATTCGACGATTAAATGCTTACAGCACTATTATTTAAAAAAAATAGCTTGAGGACGTACCTGTTTTAGGACGTTTCGGAGTAACTCAAAATTGCTTTTTATTTTGGAATTCGTGCAAAAACAGTACTTCAAATATATTTTGTCATATTATATAATGTATTAATAAAATTTACGTATTCTTTAAAACTCAGTCATGCTAATAATTGTTTATTTATTGTTTTGTTTTTCCTATTCAAAGTTACATACTATCGCCACACCCCGGACACTCCATACAATGGTCGAAAATTATTTACCTACTACTACTACATACAGCAAAGCGCTATCTGTACACGCGCAAATGTGTGCGTGAAGTGGCAGGGTTACCCATCACTTGCTCGTACTATTACGTTACGTGGTCAGAGTGGCAACATACCGAAAATTCTAACGCGAATCTGTTATCTATAATTCTATTATCGAATCCTAATAATTACACATGTTCGTTACGTATTTATATCGATATAATATTATATTGTTCATTAATTCACTAATTAGAATAATATTGAAGATTTATTTAAAAGATATACTTGGTACTTGGTGTAACGGGCTGGTGTCCGCAACTCGACGACAAGGCGCCTATTTTGCGTGTGGTTTAAAAGATATATTAAAAGCACTTTTGACAGGTACCTTTAAAAAAGGTAACCAAATATTTGAAATTGCGTGTCCAACTTTATCATTGCCTAGTTAAGAATTAATTCACTACGTAATATTTATCGCAATAAAAATTGAAAATTCGAGAACAAGGGTTCTCGAATTTACGAAGTTATAGCATCTTATTATATTGTTACAATAAATCTGTATTATATATTACTCTGCACTAAAGAAAACAATAGCTGAATGAGTCTCAAACATAAGTTTATTTACTTACTGCATTTCATTTTTCAAAAAACGAAAGAACGTCCTCTCTTTATACCGTTTAGATGATTATAAACTGACGTACACAGCACAATTCACGACCATTCTAAATAGTAACGTAAAATGAATATTAACGTACAAATTTCGTGGTAATGAATAAATGAAAACTATATTCAAATATCAAAGTCGTCTTAGCGCGAAAACGACTCGCCGACAGCCGTGTTCTCGTTCAGTCAATGTGACCGTCAATGTGTGGACTGTGGTGCGGTATCTAAAGCTAGGGAGGGGCGGAGAGTGTCCGTTTTCATTACTTAGTTCTCTTCTATCGCCTTCTTAGCTGTCAAATTTGGCCTCTTATTTGGTGACGACTATAATAGTACAATCTGAAATATGAACATGGTATCCCCAAAATTAACCTCAAATTTATCGAACATAAATAGAAGCCACAAACTAATAAGAGATACTACGTATGATAGAAGCTAAACGGGTAAACCAGTTATTGGGGTAAACGCACAGACATGCATTACACATATATGTCGTATATGCTGTTGGTAAACCTAGAGAAACAGTAACATGGTGGACAGTTTAAAAACTGAAGATATTGTTCACCCACAATGCCAGTTTTTAGTGGAGCGCAAGAAGCGGCTGTGTCGGATGTTAGTGCGCCCGGGCCAGAACTATTGCTGCGAGCATGAGCCGCAGAATAAACAAAAGCAGGTACACAGTAATAAACGAACCAAATTTACGCCAAATCAAACTGTTTTTGGGCTTCTCCAAAGTGTGGCAAATTACAAGTCATACATATAACAAATGAGCATAACTGTAGGGCAATTATTTATTAAGTCCACAGCCCTCAAACTGTACATTGCACTCGCATGTAGTACTGATAACACTACAAAAGACGGAAAGATATTGTCTGCCCCAACATTATATCATCAAAACATGTGTTCATTTCCATATTTTTTGTGTTTCTTGGACCATTTTAGTAGAATAAATTAAATGCCAAATTGGCCATACATCATTTTTGTTACATAAAGGTTAAGAAAATTCTCCAAGAATTCGTACAAAATATGTCTTACGATGGTACAGAGAATTTATTATTTATCCCAAAATAAATGTTGCCTAATTTAAGTGTATAGCTATATGATTTGCATTTTATTGTTTTTATTTATAGTTTAATTATAATATTCGTACCTGTTATATTATCCACACCTGTATAATTAGTACTTTTTACCTGAAATACAGGATTCTCCTGGTTGAGGTATATGTGTCATATTTAACATTGATTCGCATAATTAGTCTTTAGTTATTCCTTTGTACAATAAGTTATTCAATAAACAATTTTATTTATTTAGTAATTGTAAACAATGCTGTTTTTTTTTTTCAGGAAGACACACGTGTACCCTGTCCATATGACCCAAAGCAGTAAGCTATTTGTTACTCCAATTCATTTTAATAAAAAAATAATATTACTAAAACTTTGTATTTTGTATTATCTCAGTACATGCTATGCCAGTAAGTTAAAGAAACACCTGTCGATCTGCAACGCGCGGCAGACGGAGCAGCCCGCATACATCGTTCACAACATCAATTCGCCTTTAGACGACGCCGGCGGAGGCGAAGGCGAAACGCGCCGCTCACTCGGCGAAGTTCCGCGCGAGGAGCTGCTCAGAGTCATTGATAAAATCAATTACTTGTATGAGAGTGAGTTTGCATATTTGCTTATACAGGGTATCCCAAAACTCAACGGTAAGCTGGGACCAGGGTGTTACCCAGTCTGTGACAACACAAAAAAACATTTTAAAATAAAATTGAAGTCATTTCTTTGGGAAATGTGCTTTCCAATGAAAAATTACATGTTTACTCCAATTTACTACTCCAATTTTAGGTTCTACTAATACAAATTTGCAGACTTGCTGTTCTAATTTTTGTAACAATAGCTCAAATAGCCCAGCTAATAAACACAATAATGCTAATGAAAACCTAAATTGCTAAAATGTCAGAACACGAGTAAGTGTTTAATTTTTTCTTCAAATAGTTAACACAAATTATTTTAAGATAATATTGATTATGTAAAAAACTCACCTCTCAACTCATTACAAAAGTTCAAAAACTAATCGAGAGTCTAAAATAATGTAAAATATTTTGTTTTGCTTCTTAAAATAATAATGTAAGTTTTTCTAAACAGGAGCCAATTTTAAGAGATTACCTTTTACGAGTCAAATTTGCTTTCAGTGCTCAGTTAGCTAAATTAGGTTTCAGATTTATAATATATTCCGGAGTTATAGGGACAAGACTCTACGTTTCTCAATGCATATAGTAATTTAAATCAAAATTATAGCTACATGATTATAATTTTATTAAAGACTACAACAAATGCTCAAACTTTTTTCCACTGGCATCAACGGCACATGCTCATTGTTGGGCACTGCCTTAAAAATTACCTTTTCACCAATTGTGCACATTGTCGTAAATTGATCTGATCTACAACTTCGTAGTTCAACGAACTTCGCAATTATGGTGTGGCGGTCCGTGACCTCGATCGTCTTAAATCGTATTTCAGTAATACAACCCAGGGTCGGTGTCTTTGACAAAAAGTACAAAATACAATTGTTTGAAGATCCCAATGAAAGGCTGGATCCCAGAGAAGTCGGAGTCTTCACTGACGGTTCAAAAACAAATTCAGGAACAGGTACTAGGGTATTCTCAGAACACCACAATACCAGGATTTCAACACTGCTTGGTGACCACAACACAGTATTCCAGGCAGAATGTATGTGTATCAAGTTGGCAGCAGAAGCAATTATAACGAGAAGAGGAAAGAATCATTCCATTCGAGTACTCTCCAAAAGCATGTCAGTACTTCAAGTACTGAGCAGCTATGACATTAGCTCAAGGCTTATCTATGAATACTACCAAGCACTCATGGAGGTACACCACCTATAAACTCCACAGTGGATTAAAAGACACAGAGGTTCACGTGGCAAAAACACAGCAGATGAACCGGCCAGGAAAGTGTCGGAGGTGGACGCTGTAGGACCAGAACCCAAGGTATCCCTCCTCTACTAATGGTCAAGAACAACTATATACAAAGGTACAAAATCTTCTCATAATAACTCATGGATAACCCTAACGGTTTGCAGACAGGCTAGGGAAGCACTCTCAACGCTCAACGCCAGTCTGTTACGAAAGTTAATCAAACTCAAAAGGAAGAAAAAGAAAGACCTTCGCACTCTACCTGCCACCCTAGCGAGTCATGGCCCTTACAATAAACACGTTTTCGATTTAGGTATCACAGACAGCGCTTTATGTAGAGCGTGTATGGTGGAGGAAACGGCTGCGCACATACTACTACAGTGCTCGGACATGGGCAACTACAGGACGAAGTACCTGGGAGTGCCGAGGTCGCGCCCCGAAGTCTTCAGCAAACCGAGGAGGTCGCCGAGATTACTGGAGGAGCTCGGGTGGCACGAGTGGGACTCTGCACCCACCACACGCAAGGTGGTAGGCGCCTCGATGTACCAAACACGATTACCAAGAGAGTAGGTGTTAACGGTACGAAATCATCACGATCTGCAATTAGCACGTTTCAATATTTGTCTATTTTTTGAAAGATTTTTTGAGAAGCAAGACTGAAGGTTTTGTATCATTTTAGAATTTCGATAATTTGAAGAATTTGAACCGGGCGACACCCCCGTCCGGCGCAGCGTCGCAGCGTCGGGTCGGGCGACTACCAAATATTCCATAGGTGACGGAACATAAGAGACGTTCCAGAGCACGTAGCGGGGCACATCGAGGCGCTCCCCGAGCGGCCGGTGCACGCGGCGGTGGCGGCCGAGTTCGCCGACGCGGGCCGCGCGGAGGGCTCGCGCCGCCACCTGCGCCAGGCGTCGGCGCTGCTGCACCTGGTGGAGCAGCACGGCCTGGTGCAGCCCGGCACCTGCTACGTCGAGCTCGGCGCCGGGAAAGGTCTCTCGCCGCGTCCCCGTCGCCGGCGCCGCGGTGCGCGGACTCCGGACTCGCTAACGAGCGGCCAACAGGGCGGCTGGCGTACTACGCGGGCGTGGCGTGGTGCGGCGGCGCGGGCGGCGGCGGCGCGGGCGGCGGCGCGGGCAGCCGCGTGCTGCCGGTGGACCGCGCGGCGCTGCGGCACAAGCGCGACAACAAGCTGGCGGGCGCCGCGACGCGGCTGCGCGCCGACCTGGCGCACCTGGCGCTCGAGCGCGTGCCCGCCGTGGAGGCCAGCCGCCACGTGGTCGGCTTCGCGAAGCACCTGTGCGGCGTCGCCACCGGTGCGTAAGGGCCCGCTGCTGCTGCTGCTGCGGCTCGACCCGCAGTGACTCGAGTCGTGCCGCCAGATTTCGCGCTGCGCTGCGTCGCGGCGCCCGGGGCGCTGGCCAAGACGCGCGGCGTGGTGCTGGCCACCTGCTGCCACCACCGCTGCGAGCGCGCGCCCTTCGTCGGCACACCGCACTTGCAGGTGACAAAAATCGCACAGTTTTCAAATGACTACTCCGTTTTATTTTTCCAATTTTGTTTCTTTTATTTTTCACAAAAATCGTATTACTTTTCCAAATTTGTTTCTTCTTTTTAACCGACCCTTTACGCGATAACTCCGCCGTTTGTGAACCAATTTTGGTACCGAAAAGATAATCGATCGTCATGCGTTGTTTCCCGCAATATGTTGATGGCCCAGTTCCGGTGTTCTTCTTAGAAGTAAAACTCGATAATTAGGAATAAATCACACTTTATTTGCCATTCTGTCTTACTCAACTACAATTTCCACACTCCTAAGTAGTCGGTCAAATAACCGAGGCGACAACGCCGCGACAGCTGCGCCGCCCGCACAGCGGTGGCGCCGGCCTGGAAACATCGCGACGATTCGGCGAGTCTGGCGGAGCGCACGCACGTAAAAACCGCGCGACGAGTCCGCGTAATCAGTGTGAGCCAGCGCGCCCTGCACATTTGACAATGCCGACCTTTTTCGTTGTTAGCCCGCCTTTTTTTCGTTCCACTATTACTGCATTAGTTCGTTCCGTCATCACTCCCACCAAAGCTCTCGAAACGAGAGGGCGTGCCTTATTCCAGCGTGACCCTAGACGAGTTTTTGAAATTTGACTACTCGGATAAAAAGTCGCCATTTAGTCGGTTCTAGTCGCAAAAACTAGATTTAGTCAGTCCGCCACTTAAAATTTATAGGGTGTTTTACTGTCCACGCTGGAATAATCTTATTCCGGCGGCACCATTTTTGAATCTCGAGAACCACAGATCCTAGCTTAAATAGGGTGACCTAACATTGCGTAGTAAAACAGATAGTCCACTAAATCTTACCTAACAATAAGTCAAACCAGTCAAAACGCCTTCTTGATATATCTACATGCTCTGCTATGAAACAGGTTAATACCAGTGTTTTACCTAATGATCTTACAATTACTTCAGCTGCAGCTGCACCTATTAGCTGAGTGGATTCTTATCATCCACACTACAAACAACTTTCCGTTGTGCGAAACCATTGATTTGTTCTCAGCTCATTGATCGGTTATGTTTCCGTAAGACTGATTATGAGACCTGCATTGTTGATCTTCAGTCTGTGGACCGGGAAGGTCATGCATCAGTTCTTAATTGCAATGACTTTGTGCAATACTTTTACAATTCATTATACACTATAATTGAAAAGCACACCCCGAAAATTAGAACTAAATCAGCCAAGTATCCACGTTGGTGCACAAAGAGTCCGATTTCTTTATTTAATAGTAAGAACAAGTACCTACCACACTCGTTATAAGCGATATGGGAATCCTTGTTGAATCCTTGGTGAATGTTCCAGTTTTCCTCGTCCAATTACTCTTTGAGTAGTATTACTCTGTCGTCTGATGAAATACACTTGCGTCTTAGGAGTAACGACGTGGCAAAGGGAGCAGGACCTGACGGAATACCACCTACACTTGTGCGCCTGTGTGCGTCTGGTCTGGTGTATCCACTTACTATTATATTTAACAAATCCCTAAATAATGGCGTATTCCCATCCCTTTGGAAGATCGCATAAGTCGGGAGATAAAAGTGATGCGACTGACTCCGCCGTCCACTAACTAAAACGAGGCTAAGTGATAAAATGTTTTTTTGAGATATCGTAAAAAACCAAAAGCCAGTTTTAGAATATTGAAATTGTTTATTGATATTTCAGCTGTGCATCGGGCAAGGTCCTCGGGGCAAGCTCCGATAAGTCGAACGCGTTAACTCATTTTAACCGTTTTTAAAAGAGAATTTTGCGCTCGGTCGCCTTCCGCGAACGACAGCGACAATCGGCCGAACGGGTTTCGACGAGTGCCGACTCGCAGACTTCGTCAGCGAAGCGAGCCGCTGTAAACGCGCCGATTGCTTGCCGCGACAGGAGCTGGGCGTGTCGGCCGAGGAGCTGCGGGTGATGCTGGGCGTGGTGTCGTGGGCCACGAGCGGCGCGGGGGCGGGCGCGGGGGCGGCGGGGGCGGAGGCGGGGCGCCGCGCCAAGGCGCTGCTGGACTGGGCGCGCGCGCGCTGGCTGGCGGGGCGCGGCTTCGCGGCGCGCCTGCTGCGCTTCGTGCCCGACGCCGTGTCGCCCGAGAACGTGTGCATCGTCGCCACCAGGCCCCGGCCCCGGCCCGCGCGGGGGCGGGAGGGAGCGAATGAAACATTGTCTATGCAAATATAATTTGTATATTCGTATCAATCATTCTTTTCTATAACTAAATGCTACAATTACTTTTTTATACAATCCCTACGCGAGCCGGAGGAGTCGCTCGCCGCCGATGAATATACGGTAGAAACAAAGTACGTCTATGATTACAGTAAATTACGCTAATACGATAGATTCGTGACCGTTCGCGTCGTTGTCTGCGCGCTTGCCGGCAGTCGGGGGTCAGCACTGACCGCGTCGTCGGCCGGTAAGCGGGAGTCGAGCCGGTGCACGGGAGGGTCGAGTCGCAAATTCTGACTCGGTGCGAACCGGTTTGTTAACCGTTGAATAGCCCCAGTGGACCCAATGTTCCGAAATCGACTAAACCCATTTACCTATCTATATTCTAGCCAAATTCGATGTAGAATGTTTAATAACAAAACGTTGCTGAGCAACCAATGGTGGCATAGGAAAAGAACATTTCTTTCAATGCTCGTTCTCGAGGCTTGCTCTGCCCGTGGCCTGCTCTCCTAATTGGAATTTAAATAAGTAGGTAATTGGGTTATGTAGAAGTAATACTTACCTAACCAATTTTCAATCTATTAATATTTACAGCTAGATGGCAGGTAATGGTAGAAGAAATGATACAAAATTATCAGATTTTTATTTGATATTAAATTACCACATATTATACCAACCACCATCTATTTCCGATTCTCTACTTGAAGGTTAGGTCTGGTGAACTCAAATGTTTGCAATCTCTCCCTTCAAATCAAAAAGTCGCTAGGTATGACACAGTTATACAAATAATTACCTACTGGTCATTTTTAGGTGATTTGAAACTTCTGTTGAATAATATTCATTATAAACATGGCTTCAAAAATTGTATTATCCATAACCTAGTTGAATTTCGTAGGAAAATATTGAAATTGTGGTAATTGTGAAAGAGTCAGAGATGAAAACCCTAAAAATCATATGTTTTTGTTTACTGACATCTATTCTACATCGAATTTGGCTAGAGTATAGATAGTGTACGTTCGCCGTGGTTCGTCCCGAGCGCGCCCCGCGTGCGCCACGAGGACATCATATCGTTTTTGCATCGAATCAAATACGAATGAAACTAAACAAAAAAAAAAAGTTCTAATTCGGCCCATATAAAACGCCTAAAGCTCAATTCACACTGGCGCAGAATCGAAGCGTCGCGACGCGTCTTGTTTTTCGTCTACAGCATTTGTATCTCTATTTTCCCATTATTAAGGTACAAATTTGTATTATGCAAATATGGGAACGCGTGTCGACGCTTGGTTGAAGTCGAGCGGTTTCGCGCGTCGCCGCGCGTTAATTGGGCGTAGTGAGGCGTCAGACGCCGACCACACTGTGTTCCGGGCGCACCAATGCGAGAGTCATCGCGCGTCGACGCGGCCAAGCGATGTAGTTCAAAAACAGGACGCGACGCGACGCTTCGACTCTGCGCCAGTGTGCGTTGAGCCTAACAGCCCCTAAAGTCCAACGTTTTAACTGACGGAAGATTCCCTAAAAGCTATGCACGTTGCCGCGTCACCGGCACCTACCGGTTCTATCGACGTTCGATGTACTGGCAGACAAAAAAGACGTGATAATATACAGTTCCACATGTTTTCGCGGTTACCTATCAGTAGTCCGAAACGACATTTTCCAGAAATAACGTTTGCTCGAATTTTCATAACCTCGAAAGTAATTTTGAGAGGAAAATGTTTTTCTTTTAAACTTATCTTAACCTAACCGAACCTTATCGTTAACCGTTGTCTTTGCGACAAACATCCAACATTTCCTGAAAGAACAACGGTTTCGTTATAATTCGGTTTTCGGTGTAATGAAAATTCGAAACGTTATTTCGGAAAAAAAACTTCGAGTTTGTGATAGGTTACCAGTTTTCGTACATTTGCATTCTGTCGCCCAATTCATCCGTCAGTGAGTAGGTTCCATTGCAGCAGCGACGGGGCACCGGTTCGCCCGTTTAACTAAACTAGCGTAGACTATAAGTAAAAAATTACGAAAATAAAACAACCTATCACCGACAGTTGCGTAAAAATAAATTATTTTCTACAATACAAATAAATGCGCTGCAGTGACGTGCGGGTCCGCCAGTATCACGCTGCTATCAAATATGACTAATTGTTTATCTGCAATTTCAATAAGCACGTTTGTGCGTTGTTTGTTGCAGAACGACCTTCGTAAACTAAAATGGTCACTCGGAAATCGAATAGTTCCGTTTCCGTATTAAGGGTCGATACGGATGCGAATACTAAAATAATAATAATGAAGGCCGCCCAAACCCGTGTGTTACGCGTCACCCGCCTTTCGTTGTTGCATAAGTATACAAATATCGATTGTATATTTCTAGTATTGCAGTTCCGTAACGGCCCGATCAGGCCCTTGGTACTTTTGTTTCGGGGTCTTGCGCAGGCACTACGAACGCCAGTTGTCGACAGAGGCCGAGAAGACAATTCGGTCGCCGCGTCCCTTCGCGCAACGCAGCGCGCTCGTTTGGACCGTAAATCGTGTGACACGTATTTTAATAAATTAACGTACTTCGACAACGCACTTAATTATTCTGCGTATTGGACTGCAACGAAAAATGGTAACGCATATTTATGTAGATATTAAGGTACCTCTTTCTTTTTCTAATAATGGATAGTTTCAAAAATCCACATCGAACATAAAACTTTAGAAAAACCGCGCGGCAGTCGTCGTGTGGAAATGAACAAAAACAAAATGCGAATTTCGAAGGACTCTCCGTGCGAGGACTGCGACGTTACGTGTATGTTTACATTTAATACATGTACATATTTACATCGATACAGACCGACGCTGCGCGCACGCGCCGCGTCGACTCGGTCGTCGCGGGAGTCGAGATTTATCAGCCGCCTTATTTACACACAGCGTATATTGCACATACAAAATTGGTACATTGTAAAAAGTCACTTTCCACGTTAGTCTTGTTCATTCGAGACATTGAAACCGTAAGTATGAAATTATCCAGAAAAGGAAGAAAGGGTGCCCGGCGGCGAGGGCCCGCGGTCAGCAGACGCGCGACGTGCGCTCGGCCGTCGTCCCCGGCGCCGAAGACGAAGCGAGGTCAGTAGCCGTAGCGCTCCTGGATGGACGACACGACGCCGTTGGCCAGCGACGACAGGCGCCCCGCCACGCGCGTCACGCCCAGCCGCACCGACTCGCGCACCTGCACAGCCCCGCCGTCGCCGTCAGCCGCGCGGCCGCGCCGCCCGGGCCGGTCGCGGCCGCCCCGTACCTCGTCCAGGTCCGGCGCCGACACGGTGAAGCCCTGCGGGGCCCGCTGCTGCGCCGCCGCGCGCTCGCCGCCGAAGTACTCCGCCGACGAGATGCTGGAGCTGCCCGCGAAGCGCGACAGGTTCGCGTCGCGCTCCCACTTGTCGTCCTGCAAGGTCGGCAACCGTCCGTCAGAGGCGACCGCTTCCGGCTCTAGGTCGACGAACGCGCAGAGCGATACCTGCTCGCCGAAGAACTGCGCGGAGCTGATGGCCTTCGCGGAGCCGAACTTCTTCACGGCGGAGTCGTCCTCCACGGGCTCGGGCCGCCGCGGCCGGCGACCGCCGCCGCCGCCGCCGGGCCCCGGCTTGTCCTCCGGCGAGAACATGGTGCGCACGGCCTTGGTGGGCTCCGGCTCGATGCTCTCCCAGTCGGAGGCCAGCGCCGGCTCGGCCAGCAGCGCCTCCAGGCCGCCGCGGCCGTTGCCGTATGGCTCGTTCCTGCGCACGCGTCGCTTCTTAGGCTAATACTACCTTATTCAAATACGGAGTATAATAAAGTGTACTACGAAATTGCTAACAAAATATTAGCCTTTAAATTTCGCTTCAATAAATAAGACGATGTACATCGATGTCTTGGCGTACTCGAAACGGCCTTTCAAGTGACACGAAAGATGTTAGAAATGATTCTGTATTGGTATTGTTTTTTATTATACTAGGTATTGTTTTATTTAGTTTAAAATATACTAATAAACGATTGAAAGCTAAACCTCATTTGGAAATGTATGAAAATGAATTTTAGCTTTGTTCATTTTGTACCTGGTTTTGCAACAGTCAATTAACCAACATTTTACTGCCCCACAAGTGTCCTGACTCAACTAGAAAAGCCTCAGAGTACCTTTATTTGATAATTAAATACATGTTATTTAAATAATACCTCTCATTAAAGACCTTTTTATGAAATAAAGTAGGTGGAAAACCATACTTTCGGAAAGTCGTGCATCTATTAGTTTCATTTTTTATTTGTGTTGTATGAATTTAACGAAGTGATAACACAAGATGTGTTCTTTTGGAACGTGTATAATGGAAGAAATTTAAAGAGCCGCAATAGCTCGGCAAGTGCCGATCCGTTCTCGTTCTCGGAATGCCCACCGCCTCTTCATTTTTCAAGACCTCGAGCACTTGGACGATTTTTTGGCCTACAATCCCGGATGCCAGAAATTTAGTCAGTTTAAGGTCTCCCTACCATATCGCGAGAGCAATCTCTCGAAGGAAGTCGACAGCGTTCAGCTTCCGTTTTGCCAATAAACGTCTGTCAGTGGGTCAGCACGCCACTACAACTGTTACTCCAAAATCATGGAACATAAAGCTCAGAAGAAAACCGGACAGCGTCAACGGCAGAGCGAACATCCAGTACTCGGCCGCGGGAGTCGCAACTTCCGTTAAAGTGCGTGCCCAACTCGCAACAGCAGAAAGAGAAGCGGGTACCGAATCATGGTGAAGACGGAGTTGAAGTCGTCCAGGTCGTCGGGCGCGGCGGGCGCGGGCGGCGGCGCGCCCTCCTGCTCGATGGCCGTCATGTCGCCGGCGGCCGAGTGCGCCACGCCCGCCGCGGGCCGGGCGCCGGCGCGGCCGCTGGCGGCG